TGTTCCTAAACGTAGTATTAATTTGCTTTTAGTCAGTAGCATCACTAAAACCCAAAATTGTTCTGTAACCTTTTTTCCTGATTGATGTATTTTTCAGGATTTGGAGACAAGGAAGGTGATTGGGGTTGGCCGTGAGACGAATGGAATCTACCTGCTTGGAGGGAGCTCACATGGGGAAGATAGTGATGTTGGGAGGTCTTTTGTTTCTCAGTCTGTTAGTTAGGTTATGCTTTGGCATAACTGGTTAGGTCACTTATCTTTTAGGTCTTGGAAAAGCTTGTTTCCTAGTTTTTTTGAGTCTGTTCAGATGTCCAATTTAAAATGTGAAAGTTGTGAGCTTGCAAAGCATTATGGAACAACCTATTCCTTGAGTAATAAAAGAAGTAATATTCCTTTTGAAGCTTTGCATGCCGATGTTTGGGGACCATATCATATTAATGCTATGGGCGGGTACAGATATTTCTTGTTGTTTGTTGATGACTATACTTGTTTTTCATGGGTTTACCTTATGCGTTCTCGAGATGAGGTTCCTACCCTAACCTGGATATTTTATCATATGATTTTAACCTAGTTTGGGATCAAAATCAAAATTTTCAGATCCAATAATGCGAAAGAGTATTTTGCAAAACCATTAGCCTCATATTTCCTTGACTATGAGATTATCCATCAGAGTACTTGTCCTCATACACCTCAACAAAATGGGGTGGCTGAGAGGAAGAATAGACACATATTGGAGGTGGCTAGAAGCATTATGTTTAATTCCAATGTGCTTATACGTTTCTGGGGGGATGCCATTCATACAATTGTATATCTCATTAACCGACTTCCTTCACGAGTTCTAGACATGAAAGCTCCATTCAATCTTTTATATCCTGATAAGGAGTTATTTACCATTCCTCTTAAAATTTTTGGTTGTACTTGCTTTGTTTAGACCCTTGGACCTCATCGTTCCAAATTTGATCCTAAAGCCTCAAAATGCATTTTCCTTGGTTATGCACAAACTCAAAAGGGATATTGCTGCTATGAACCTAATTCTAGGAGGAGGTTTGTTTCTATGGATGTCACTTTCTTTGAGGATGTACCCTATTATCCTAGGGTTTCTCCTCAGGGGGAGAGTAGTGAGGTCGGGATTCATCATAGGGTTTCTTCTTAGGGGGAGAGTAGTGAGGTGGGGGTTCATTCATCAGAAATTCCATTACCTGTCCCAATCATCGAAGGGGAGTGTAGTGAGGAGGGCTGTCAGAGGTGCCGGGATTTAAGAGTTTATCATAGACGGTGGAGGCAGGTTGACTTCGGTCATTAGCAGTCTAGGCCAGCCCCAATTCCTTATGTGGATCCAGATCCAGGTACCACCCACAGTTCCTTCATCTCCCATTAAAGATGAGTTACCTTCCCATTTGTTGAGCCTTCACCTCCATTGGATGACCTTGACCTTCCCATTGCAGTTCGTAAGGGCAAACGCCAGTGTACCTCATCTACAGCTCACTATATTTCCTAGTTCTTGTCTTATGATCATTGGTTTCCATCTTACAAGACCTTTTTGGCATCCATTGCCACTATTCTCATTCCCAGAACAGTGCAGGAAGCCTTGTCGGTACCCGAGTGGAAGGATGCAATGAAGGTAAAAATGAATGCCCTTCTAAAGAATAATACATGGGAGCTAGTTGATCAACCTAAAGGGAAGAAACCAGTTGGATGCAGATGGGTGTTTACTATGAAGCATAATGCTGATGGTTCCATTGAAAGGTATAAGGCCAGATTAGTTGCAAAGGGATTTACTCAGACATATGGCGACTACTTGGAGACTTTTGCACCAGTAGCCAAGATGAACACTATTAGAGTTCTATTATCTCTTGCAGCCAGCTACTCATGGCCTTTGTTTCAGATGGATGTTAAAAATGCCTTCCTCAATGGAGACTTGCAAAAAGAAGTGTACATGTAGTTGCCTCCTGGATTTTATAGTGCAAAAACGAGAAAGAAGGTTTGTCGACTGAATAAGGCCTTATATGGACTGAAACAGTCTCCCAGAGCCTGGTTTGATAGGTTCAGACAAGCTCTTGAAAAATTTGGTTATGTGCAAGCCTAGTCAGATCACATTCTTTTTATTAAGAAAGTGGATTCTTCCTTAACATTGCTTGTTTTATATGTGGGATGATATTGTAGTGACAGGGAGTGATACTCGTGAGATTGAGTCTCTTAAGTAACTTCTTCATCAAGGGTTTGAGGTCAAAGACCTGGGAGAGCTACGGTATTTCTTGGGTATTGAGGTAGTTCGGTCTAAGCATGGGATTTTTGTTTCCCAAAGAAAGTATGTTCTTGATTTGTTGGAAGAAACAGGGAAGACAGGTGTTAAACCTGTTGACACACCTATTGAACAAAATCACAAGATCAGTGCAGAAGGTGGAGAGCCCCTTGACACACCTAGTTGGAAAACTTCTCTATCTTTGTCTCACATGACCAGACATCAATTATGCAGTCAGTGTTGTCAGCCAGTATATGCACTCTCCTAGAACTACTCATCTACTTGCAGTTGAGAGGATACTGGCGTATTGGAAGAGGTGACCATGCAGCGGTATACTATTCAAGGATAATTGTCACATGAAAATAGAAGTTTGCACAGATGTTGATAGGAGGTCTACCTCTGGATATTGTGCATTTGTAGTAGGTAATCTTGTTTCTTGGAGGAGTAAGAAACAAAATGTTATTGCTCGCTCTAGTGCTGAAGTTGAATATAGGTCCATGGCAAATGGTGTGGCTGAAGTACTATGGTTGAAATCCCTATTTGAGGAGTTGGGCATTACTTATGAGAAGCCCCTAATGCTGTACTATGACAATCAGATTGCTATTAATATAGCCCATAATCCAGTACAACATGACATAACTAAGTATATTGAAGTGGACCAACACTTTATCAGAGAAAGAGTTGCTTCTCAAGAAGTGTGTCTTCTGTATATCACCTCCAACATGCAACTTGTAGACCTTCTCACTAAGGCAGTTTCAAAGACAAAGTTAGAAGCAGATCTATGCAAGTTGGGAATGACAAACATCTATTCCCAACTTGAGGAGTATAGAGAACATTATTGTGGTCCCCACTGTTATTTACTTGTTTATGATAGTAGTTAGTCCCAGTTAGTAGTTAACAGTTGGTAGTTTATTATTTCTTTTGCCGCCTATGTAAGCAGTAGGAGTAATTCATCCCTTTTACTCTTATTTTGATTATTAATATAAAAGGATGAGTGGGGCGACAATACTAGTCAATCCACATTCTCTGAATTCTCCTCTTCGTGTTCTCCTCTTCTTCTCTCCTTCTCTCTTTCTTTCTCATTCTTTTTCTTGGTTATTACTCATTATACCTAGGACTGATTGCAGTCCTATTTGACTACTGTATAAATCAAATAAGATTAAGAGACTTAAATAGGTTTTTTCTCTGTATCTCCCTTTAGTCTTTTAGCCATATTCTCTTCTTTATGTATGCCATTACTTGCCATTAGTAAATGTGTTGGTTAAGTTGTGAACCCTCTTTTATAGTTGTGTGCCTTTTTTCTTTTACTTCTGAATTGCATTGGCTTGGTAAGTGAATCATATCAGAATTGTAAGCCAAGCACCTATCCATTGAATCCCCATTTATTCTTTTAGGGAAAGATTTTTAAAGAATTATGATGATTTTAATGAAATAATGGGAAGCTTCTAATAATCATCATCTAAAACTGTCCCAACTCCCAACTATATAGTGTTGGCTACATGTATCCTATTTTTCCATTCCGTTTTATGTAGTGTCATGTTTTTAATATATTAGAATTGTAAGCCATTCCCATTTGTTCTTAGAACATTTTCACTAAACTTTACAAATATTGCAAACCATGTTTTCAATATACATAATCTAATATATATTAGATATTATATTACTAATGTTTCACATTGCTTGAGCAAGATCAGTCTCTTGGAGAAATTAATTATTAATATTTCACCATCTCCTTGATTGTCTTATTATTCCTTCAAACCCAAATTTTCATCACTTAGTGGTTGGAAAGGTTGTTATAGGTTTTCCTTAGGGTTGTTTCTTAAATATATAGGGATGACAATCTAACCCCCTGCCCTGATTGGGATGCGTTTTTTGACCATTGACCGGGTTTAGGGTGGGGTAGGAATGATAATGTAATTGATATTATATAATATATCAAAAGAAATTGTAGAAGGCAGAAGTTAGAAAGAACCTTATGACATTCCCAATTGGTTTGCTGGTTTGGGCCTTAGGGCCTCTAGAGTTTAGTCAGGTTCAAGTCCAATCCAAGAAATTTTTTTATCAATTAATTTTAAAAATGTATTATTTCTAAATTTGAATGGACTTTAAATTAATGTTATTGGGACTTGGGATTGCAAATGGTATCTATTTGCTTGAGTTCAAATTGATACTCAATTAGTTTAGGCAAGTTCAAGTCCAATCCAAAATGTGAATGAAACCATGGCTAGCAATGGTTGGGGCGTGGCAGAGAAAATACAGGGATCCCTGTCCCCGCAAGGATGGGGATGGGGTTGGGATTTCTAGCCCTTCTGGGGAATGGGGCGGGATACATGTGTTTGGGGTCGGTATCGGGATATGTAAAATCCGATCCTGCCCCACTCCGTTTCCATTCCTGTAAATATATCTGTCAAGAACGATGATGGTAGTTTTCAAATAGGGTTAAGTTTTTTGCTCCTAAGGATTTTGTTTCTGAGATGAATTTGGCATGTCCCAACACCCTGTTCTTCAGTCAGGTTTTTGCTGTGTCTTTTATGTTTGTAATACTTAATAATTGGCACATCTGTGCTTATATTTTGGGAAACATCTATATCATTTCATTAATGGAAAGGAATGCTGTATTTGCATTTACAATTATCAGTTCTGAAAATAGTTGTTTTTAAATATGAAAATCAAGTTTTTTTTTTCATAATTGGTAATTTTTGCTTTAAATTCATGCATGCTACACATTCTAATTTTTCAAAGTGTTTTTTATTTGAAGTTGGCTCGACTCTTTCAAATGCTTGAAGCACTTGGCACACGAATAGAGAAAATTGGGTTGTTGGATAAGTTCCGAAAAGATGAACTGAATACTGTCCTAATTGATGATTGGTCTAACCTCACAAAGAAAATGTTGAAGGCTCTTCCATATTCCCTTACCCCTAGTCAATTAGATGCAGTTTCAGAAATTATTTGGGATTTAAAGCGGCCTGTGCCCATGAATCGACTTTTGCAGGTTTGTAAGGGATCCTACGTAGTTTTTAGTTTGCTATGTTTTTTAAATTTTAGGTAAATACTGTAAATAAGTTGTTGTCCTCTAGTACATTTTTTCATCTTTGGTCATTCTATATGAAATAACTTGCTATTATAAATATATTTACTATTTCGTGATCATTGGAATCTATTGGATAGGGTTGAATGTTGATTTCAGATGCCATATTGGTCCCTACAAAATGAGAAATACATGATGTGAATTAATTGAATAGCGTTGGCTTGAGTAGAAAACTTGATATTTCCAGAATTTCTTTGATTTATGAAAACTTCAACATATTAATTGCATTCTTTTCGGTAATACTTTTCCTTCATAATTGTGTTGCACTCTGAAGATGTCTTCACTTTCCCTTCCCTTCAATCTCTTTATTAAAATAAAATCCCAATTCAAATTATAGTAGTTATTTTTGATGGGTGGTGAACGACGGTGATCAGTGCTGAAATAATTGGTGAAAATGGAGTCGTGTGAGTTTCAACATTTTCATAAATCGCAACGACCGTGTTTCGGGAGATAGGTGTTACCTAAATATCTAGGAAGGGTTTGTCGCTGGAGATGCTAAAGTCCGACGTAGGGAGAGGTTGAGAGGGAGTCCTAATAGGCATGGAAAAAATCTCTTCTGATTCCTCCTTGGAGGAGAGGGAGATCTCGACCAAATGAGGAAAGAAATTCAGAGCGAGAAGGTCGAGGTCGGGGAATGGCGGATAATACTTGTTCGTATAGAGATATGGCTGGAATACAAGCTTGGTTTCATGACGAAACTATGAAGTAGTTAAAGGTGTGTTGACGATCTATATCCTGTTGGGGGAAACTATTGATGAGGAATGTAAACAATACTTGAAGAGGTGTATGGTTGGAAAATTAGAAGGGGACCATTTTCTGCTGTTTGTTTTAGAACCTATTCTTAAACAAAATAGGACCTGCTTATCTGCCTCAAAGTTCGAAAACTACCTCAAGGAATGTAACTGGCCTTACTACTGTTGGTTAAAGAACTTGGTCGTGTATTGCGGGTCTAGTTGAAGGGGTTGGTGATTGATGTTTTCAAGTTTTGGATTGGGAAGTGGCACCTGAGGGTAGGAGGGTTAATGAAAGACGAATGGAAGGTTTCTTCGTACTGGAGTAACAAGATAATTGAAATGGTGGGGGAATTGTGTAGTGGCTTCATTAGAGTGGACTACTCTTACTTGGCAAAGGAAAGTTGTGAATGGGTGTGGATGGAAGTAAATTGGAAAGGGTCAGTTCTAATGGCCATTAATAGTTTCTGGAGGCCATCTCTATGTGGTTGCTATTTGGTTGGAATTTCTTCCCAGCATCTTGCCAGTGCTAGAGAACTTGGGGAAGGAGATTATTAGACCATAGGAGGAGGGTGCCTCTTTCCTCAAGACAATTAGTGGGGGAGGTGAGGGATTTTGGCGTCAAACAGGAATAGGAGCTTTGTAGGGTTGGAGTTCTGGCCGAAAAGTCTCAAATGGTGGTTCAAAAGGGTAGAAGCCATGGAAGGAACAGGCGAGGGCAAAGAAATCAGATGTAAGTGCAATTTTAGAATTAAGAGTTGACAAAGTAGAAATTAAATTTTGTTTATGTGAATAAAAATTTTTGAAGCATTTGCTTTAATTGCTTTTCTAGAAACGTTTTTTTTTTTTAATTGGGGATTACTGATTGTTGTAAAAAACTTTCTAGCAAAGGGTCTTTAGCCAATAAAAGTGGTTGTTCAGCATGTACAAAAGATTTAGCTAATTCTTGTCTCATTTTTCTTGAGAATATTGAAAATTACCGAAAAAACTCGCTTAATTTGTGATTTTGACTATCAATATTTTTTAGATGAGTGGCCATATGCCTAGCCAAATGGCTAGTACCACCCTTGTTGCTATAACTAAAATCACTCGTACATTTATTGCTGACAACTCTTTTTTCCCTTCCCCTTGATAGTTTCTATAGTAAATATTTCCAGATTGGGCTAGACAACTTAGACTTTTTCTTTCCCCTAGTAGTAGTACTAGGGGTGTGGCTCTGGAAACATCAACCATAGAACCACTAGAACCTATATCGGTGCTATCGTATTTTGAGAGGAACCAGCTATTTTTAAAAGATTATAGTATTAAAGCCCTAAAAAAATGAAAATTAATTGCAACTTACCTGGTCCGCTGGTCTAGAATCCTAACTTGATTTCAAGTGATGAAGCTTCTAAGCCTTTGATTTTGTTAACTTGTGGTACTTGAGCAAGCCTTCTTCTTGAAACTTTAATAAGGTTGAGAATTAGGGATAGGGAGCAAAGATTAAGAGAGTATGAGAGAGAGTATTGGGATTGGGAATGTGTATAAGAGAGTATATGAGAGTATACGAGTACATGAGAATATAAGAATTAGTGTGATGAGAATGGAGGGTAAGGGTATTTGTAGGAGTTGGAATTAATTCAATTAACGAAAATACCTTTAAAAACTAGTTGTTGTATAGTTGTTCGGAGGGGTATTTTGGTCTTTTAAAAAGTTAATTATCACTTTACCAAAATGCCCCCTAACTAGCTGTTATATAGTTCTTGGGGGTATTATTGTCATTTTTACTCCCCAAAATAAAAAAAATCGTCGTTTGGAACCCTCCAATGGCTATATTTTAGTGGGCTGGAGTGCCCATAGTGGGTTGGTCTGTGTTGGGTTGGGATGCGGCTGTGCTAGGCTAGGCCGTAAGCTCGTGCTAGCATGACCCACTTGTGTTGTGCCGTTCGGCTCATGAGCCTCAAAACCCAAGCCTGACATGATCCACTTTTTTGTGTTGTGTTGGGCTGGGATGCGGCTTGGCCCGGTTGCTACAGTGACCAGGCCGTGCCCGACACAACCCATATCATGTTGGGCTCTGCTAGCCCACAGGTGGTGCAACCCACTTTACAACTATATAGGAGGCATTGTAGTGGTGTGGTATTTGGGCTTCTTCAGTAAGGTGGATCATTGGATCGGGAAGTGTTCAGTATCCATATTGTTTTAAAACAATATGGATAGTGTTTAGTGGGTGTTGACTTCTGCTGGAATTGGACTCAACCACTTCGAGATGGTGTGCTCCTTGGTGTCTAGTAGGAGACTTCAGTATTTTGCATTTTTTCCATGAAGCAATGAATGATAAAAAGTCACAAGGGAGATGGAGGCATTCGGTGATTTTATTAACAAATGGAATCTGATGGATTTGCCTTTATGGGGAGCAAAATACCTGGAGCAGCTTGAGAGCCTTGGTAAGCATTCTTTTGTGCTATGGGCAAAATTAAGATTTCTTAAACAGAAAATAAAAGACTGATGTAAAAAGGAGTTGGGGTGTATTACATTGAGGAAGCAATAGTGGCTCGAAAAACTTAAAGGAGGAAAACACCACATTATCGGGGGATGAAATTGTGCAAAGATCTTTAGCTAGAGATGAGGTCTATTGCCTTTCTTGCATGGAAGTGATTGCTTGGAGACTAGACCTGTTCATGGGCCGGGTAGCCCGATGGCCCGGCCCGGCACGACCCGCACCCCGGTCGGGCTTGGTCATGTAATTAGGCCCGTGGGCCTGACCTTGGGCCTAACACAGTAAGCCCGACTGTGTTTTGGGCCGGGCTCGGGATTTGTCAAAAAAGCCCGGCCTAAGCCCGGCCCGGCCTGGCCCGACTCAGCATTATATTTTTTATAAAATATATAATATGTATTTTATATATTATATAAAATATATAAATAATATAATATTTGTTAAAATATATATTTATAATTTAATATATTTATATTTTATTCTTTTCTTTATAATTTCTCTATCTCTCTCTCTCTCTCTATTCAGTCGCTTCAGTAGTAGTAATAGTAATAGTATGGGCTAAATTTCAGGCTCGGGCCCAGGCCCGGGCTTCGGGCTTTTTATGAGGGCCAGGCTCGGGCTTGAGCCTTAAAAAAATCTATTAATACAGAGTGAAAGCCCGGCCCGGCCCGGCCCATGAACATGTCTGACAAAGGTTGAGGAAAAATTGGCTAAAAGAAGGGGACAACAATACCGCCTTCTTTCAGAAGGTAGCAAATCCAAGGAGAAGGATTAACATTATCAATCAAATTAACTTTGAGGGAGTTCAATAGGAGACAAGGAAGCTTTATGAAGACCTTTTCTGAGCAAATGAGGTGGGGAGGCCAATCTTGGATGGTTTATTTTACTCTCAGTTTTTACAGCAAGAAAGTGCTTCCCTTGAAGCACCTTTCTCACAAGAGGAAATATGGCATGCTATAAATGATTTAGTTTGGGGACAACTTCAGTTCGTGACCTGTTTCAGTTCGTGACAACTTCAGTTCGTGCTTCAGTTCTCTCCTTTTCTTCTCTGGGCTGTCAATGGAGAAAAGTGGTTCGTCCCAGGCCTGAAACATCACAGCTCTTCTTTTTTCTGGTGCACAGAACCTCCTTTCCTAAGAAAACAACTTCAGCAGTGAATGGTTG